AATGGATGTTGATGAAATATTGACGATCACTTATATTCATTTCTGTTCGATTGATATGAATATAATGTTCAATTTTTTCACGAATAAATCACCATGAACGAAATAAAGAAAGATCTTGTGGTTGAATATGACCGGTTGATCCTTCAGGAAAAATTAATAATTGACTATCTTGATTAGGAAATACTGCTCTAAATTTTGTTAGATCAGCTTGAGTTTTCCAAGAATCAAGGAAGAGAAGAAATCTTCTACCGACCAAGGGACGTAGAAGTTCATTTAAAAAAACGTGATGTTTTTCACCGCTGCTTTTTCCTGATTTTGAAGCTCTGACTACAACATTTGATGGTACAATTAATTTTTTTTCCACTCTTTTACCAAATTCATTTTCTTTTTCTTGAAGGATGAGTAAGAACTTGTCTAATAAATGACCATCAGCTAATGTAACTGGTTGAACTGTGTAAGAATGTGTTACATTATATTTCTTTCTAACATCCATTTCTGTTGTTCTTTCTCCAATAAAAGAAAGAGTCCTTGGAAAGACATATTCCTGTTGAAATGAACAATGATCGCTGTTGAAAATTTGATGAGAAGAATATTTTGATATCAAAGCTCTTTTACTTTCAATCCATTCTTGAGCATCTAGAATATATAAATGTATATTATATTAAGACATATATTTAAAGACTAAATAAAAGTTTAATTACCATTTAAACTGCAGACTTTTCTACTTAATTTAGTTCAAGTAATAATTTTGTTGACTTTTCTTGATGATATTCTATTTTCTCTTTTAAAAGTATTGATAAACGATTTGCTTGCCTTTAATTCATTTCAATTTAATTCTCTTGCTTTTTGAATAGCATATAGTTCAAGATCAGCATCATGAACGGCGTCTTTTTCCATGGCTCTCTTCAAATAAAATTCGTTAAACATAAATTCTTTAATTTGTTTTAATTTTTCATATCTTGTGCCATTGTTTGCGATAGATTCTCTAAATCTTGTAATATAATTCATGGGTTTAATGTTTCTAAATCGATTGGAAATAGTTGACAATCTGGCATTCGGATGTTGGTCAACCCATTCAACTATAATTTCCATTTCTTCTAATGTAAACTGATTTTTTAAATCAGAATGATCATCCCATGTCGTACAGAACGGCCCGTAAAAGGCCTTAAACGGCTCGAAAACAGCGAAAAACGACTGCCATTACGATCATCGTTTACAATGTGCCGTAAAACGGCGAAAAACGGCAAAATACGATATCCGTTACGATGGTCGTTTACGTACCAGAGGAAACGGCTGTCGCTACGACCTTTGCTTTTTCACCGTTTCGCACTGTTTTTCATCGTATAAAAATAAGAGTTCTCAAATTATCGTCAGACATTTTCTGATAAAGTATAATCGATTGCTCACTATTTGTTAAAAAAGTTGATACTATTTTTCATCTTGATTGCTTTCACCATCTAATTCAATAGCAAATCTTTTAATTAAATAAATATGTTTATTTTTATTTCGGTCTATCTTAATCAAATATTCAATAGTGAATATTTTATTTGAATAAGTTTATTTATTTGTTTTTATTTATTGAGAAAATAAATTAGTAACGTATTTAAAGACAAGTATTTTATTTAAAAAGAAAAATTTATTTTTTTATTTAGAATTTACATCAATAAAATAATTTACAAGAAGTATTTTGCTTAAATAGAAATTTTTTTTTTCTAATTTAAATCAATACAACATTTGAAGACAAGTAATTTATTTTAATAGAAAAAATTTTTTTTGTTTAGAATTTGAACCAATGAAATATTTTAAGAGAAGTATTTTATTTAAAAAATATAAATTCACCCTTTTTATTTAGAATTTAAATCAATAAAATACTTAAAAGTCAGTATTTTATTTAAATATATTTATTTATTTTTCTTTAGATTTGTCTCAATCGAACATTTGTCATTGATTGTTTTAAATAAATATATTTATTTTGTTTTATTTAGAACTTATCTCAATAAAATGTTCAAAAGTAAGTATTTTCTTTAGATAAACAAATTTTATTTGTTGTCTATAGGGAAGGTGGGCAGAGGAGAAAACCATCCTTGGGCAGCATATAAATAGAGTCGTAAACGAGGAAAATGGTGTAAATAACTCACAGTAGAGCGAGAATGCGATCCTGGCATTACTCATCGTTAATCGCCGGAAAGGGCCTAAAACGGCGCCGTTTACGTTCCGGGAGAAAAACGGCCCTCAATCCGAGCTGACGGAAAACGATCAAAAAACGGTGAAAAATGGCGATCGGTTTTCATCGTTTAGGGCAATAATTGCACCGTTTTATCGCCGTTTTAGGCCTTTTAAGACGTCGTTTCAGACGACCTGAATGACGAACCTGGGATTCTCATCATAATCATCGACTTCATTGTCATCCTCTTCTTCATCAGTTATTTCATCATATTCATCGT